GTAAAATTATATTTTGATATATGATACTCTCAATTTTTTCCTTCTCTCTTTATATAACAACTTCCTTTTTTCCAAGAAAGATAACAAACTTTGTGTAAACATAAATAATCACGACTTACAACTCTGTTTTAAACACATCTCTACCATAACTTCTTAATTTCCTTTCACTTACATACATAATTTCATATTTCCACTATTTTCTCTGAAATATTAATTTTTTGAAGTCATTTTCTATCAGCCTTTTATTATTTATTTTTACTACATGTACATTATTACAACTAAAATTATTATCTATTTGGTAACGTAGAATGTTAAAATATTTCTAAATATTGCTACTAATAAAAATTCCTATATTTTTGGATATTTCAAATTTTGTATTACCAAATTTCTTATTCCTTGGATATTCCAAATTTTCTATGACTTTTCATCATCCTTTTAAGCATTCAGGCTTCATTGAAGAACGAAGCCGCTCTTCTAATTGTTTGTAAGCGATTAACATACAAATTCACGTTTCAAGGAGCCATTGTAACGCGTCAGAGCGTTCGAGAACCGTTTACAACGGCGGTAAAAGTATGCAGCGCTTACGATAACGTAACGTTTCTCGCGCGGTGTCGCAACGACTGGTGCGAAGGAATATTAGCGGGCATCGACGGCCCAGAAATTGCCTACTGTTGTGCCAGACATCGTAACCAAACTTGTCGTCACAACGTTTCTTAGAATCACTTTAATCGAATACGACTAACTTTGCCTGTTTTACAATGCGTGTCAACAGAATTTCACATAAATTTGCAACAATAAACTGTATTTATAACAAAATCTTACTGTGAAACATTTTCTGACTTTCCTTTTGTTTTCCAATCATCACTTAATACTTTATTTTTCAACCTAAAAGATTGATTAAATGGAAGAATATTTAATTGGAAAATTTAAAAAATAATTTTTAGTCATTTTTAACAATGTTTCATCAATGATCGAGATATTCTATTTTGTTTTCATTTATACAGACTTATGAAACTTATTTTAAATTCTAATGCAATTGTATTTCATGGTATGATGAATACAGTTGTACATATGCACTAATTATAATGTACTGATACGTAATAAAGGATAATATATTATTTTCTAACAACTTACACAACGTGTGATATTCCAGTACGCTTCTGCGTCATCTTGCTCGGGTCACTCCCTGGAACAACTTAATATAATAAAAATCTTGCAATGTGTCAGGTTTTGTGAGTGTTTCTAACATTGAAATACATCAGATGAGAAATTGCTAATTCTGATATGTTTGAATAACAACTATTACAAGACATGATATAATTTCCATATCATTTAAATATAGAACAGAAACATATTCGCATATTCATAGAAAATACCATTATATACTCATTAACACTACTCTCATTAACACTAAGGTTAATACCAATTAGACTGATTGTACAATGATATAATATGAACATAAATTAAACAAATCTTACATATTTTTGTATATTTCTAATCATATTTCATATTCGTACATCTAAACTGTACATATAACTCCATGTACACACCTTGTGCCAAAATCATTACTTAAACATAGAATCAAGAAAACAGAAGCTCACGCCATAGTGAAGCAACAGATTTGCATGTTAAACGTGCCAAATCGCATAGAAAACTATTTGCATTTTATGATAGAAAAGCGTCCCACTTAAGCGTAGGTGTTCCGAAATTCGCACGAAAATCATCCGTACAAAATCCTCTTGACTTTCTCAACACTCGTAATACGATCTATCTGTACGAGTGAAAATAATTTTCCCAAAAATTTCCCAACCTAATATTCTCGTGTACACTAATTCGACCTGAGTGAGAAAATGCTTTCAATGTCAAACAACTTCGACACTTACCTGGTATGGAATGGGCGATCGTGGATACAGTGAACATTCAGGTAAAATTTGTTCGTCACACCGTGAACACACAAAACGGATGTAACAGCCAGTCAAACTTTCACGCGAACACCTCGCGGCTAATGCACTTTACTTAACATCAAAACTGGGTGTTTACACTCGGCAGTCGCGCCATTTTGGAGTTTTACTCGGAATTTTATTTTTCTTCGGGTCTTCGAAGCACGAGAGTCGAAATTACCCCGAATGCAGCGCGATCTGTTAGATGATTACGAGAAACGTTTTGCGTCGTAATATGTATGCGTACACACTTGTGTGTAATTAAGCATAGATATTGGCCTTTCTGTTCTGTGTACTGAATTTCCAAATTGAAAAACATGTCAAGTTTCACAAGCTAGCTTAAAATCATTTTTAATAGATAATATGTTCCTTCTTTGTATTATTTGGAAGAGCAAGTCATCGTTTATGCAATGTACATACTCTTTACGTATTATTTATAGCGTTCGGAAATTATGATTGAGGACAACAATTGAGTCTATTATTACTTATCGACGCTAAGTGAGCTAACTGAAACGGTAATTAATTGGAAAATATCTTTTTAAACGTTAATTACCGAAAGGTTGCACAATTAAAGTAGTATTAGTGGCGCCACCTACGAACATTTTTATTACATCATCGAGTATGCTGTTGAAACGTAGTATTGAAAGTGCACTTTGAATTTCGGGACATCGATTGCCAACTGTTTTTTTTTGGACGGCCATTATAAGACAAAACAGATTGTAATCAGTAAATTATAAATCAGCGTAATCACTTGCACATACTTCATTCGTTGAACAATTATCAACTAATTTACTGAAATAATTTTTAAATAATAATTAT